CTCTGTTTCGGGGAAAACATTGACAGTATTATTCCCCTCAATTTCAGTTCCTCTCCTGAATGTTCACGTTTCTTTGGAAGGGTCTGTGCCTCACTGCTGGATGGCCTTCCACTCGGCTCTTTGCCTCACCTCATCTTGGGACCCACCCACCCTTCCCTAGTCTGAGAACGGAGGAGAGAGAATTGCTTCCACTCCCAAATTTCCAAAGAAGTCCCTCATTTGGGGAGGATTTCAATTTTCCCCAAGTCCCCCCAAAATCAATTTCCTCCAAGAGAAGAGAGCAGGGGCAACAGGCCAACCCTTCTCCCATCACCAAATCTTTTCTCCATTTTCTCTCATCATTTCCACTTTTGCAATTTCTCTCTTTGGCTCTCTCCCTCCCACTTTTCTGTTTTGTGTTGAACTTGCTGCTTTTTTTCATACTGAAATGACAATGTCCCAGAGCCTGAAAATAAACAGGAAATGGTGGGGGGTGGAGGGGTGGTGGTGGAGAGCCCAGCCCGGACATCTCATTTCTCATATAACTGCACTATTTTGGGACTTCTCTGACTGACTTCTCCACCAAGCTCCTAGGCTGGGCACCTATTTCTCCTCCCCCTCTTGACTTTTCTGCTTCCTTTTGTGTATTGCATTTCCTCATTAGATTGTAAGCTCTGTGAGGGCAGAAACTGTCTTTCTTTTTTTATATTTGCATCTTCAGTGCTTAGCACTGTGCCTGCACATAGTAGGCACTTAGTGAATGTTGATTGATTAATTTATGCCCCTAGGTGACCAGAAAGACTTGTCGAGAGAGGCAAGAGCCAATCAAGTTCCAGGGATAGCATTGTTGCCTTGTAGGGAAGACATTCCTACTGTAGGAAATGGGAAGCCTTATATTATCACATGCCACCTCCATAGTGGCAAGATCCTAAGGATCTTCTAGAGGCCCAGCCACCATTTATGTGCTTTCAGGACTTTTATTGGACAATTCTCCTAACACAGGCAGTACTAAGGGGAAGCAGAAAGAGAAGGAAACAAAGCAAAACAACAACAGTCCCCAGAGCCTCTGCCAAGAGTCACCAAAAGTAAAAATAATAAAAAGAAATGCCGAGTACAAAAGCCAGAAGTCTTCACTTTTTCTCTCTGCTTTGGAAGGTCCCAGTCTCAGATCTCAATGATCTAAATCATGTGGTGAGTGGTGCCACATCTTTGCAGTCCCCAGTGACTCCTAATGTAAAATGGTGATGATGAACCAACGAGCCAGAGAAGTACAAAGAATATCAGGAACATAACAAGACAATGACACCTTCAAAATAGTCTCCGATTCTTCTCTTGATGTAAGGTGGTGATGATGGGCCAGGAGGACCAGAGCCGCACCACAGATGATAGCACTTCCGACATAGTCACCAACTCATCGTGCCTCAGGGTCACATGTGGTAAAGTGACTAAGAGGTTACAGGCCTCTTGAACGCAATCTGCCTTGGGGTCTAGGTTGACGTGGAGGTTCTGTCAATAGCACTGCCCACTCCATATTCCCTGGCTCACCCAACAAAATCTCCCCCTCCCTGAGAGTCACATCAGGGGAATAATAGGAGATCTTTAGCCCTTTAACCCTTTAGAAGAGGGTTTGCTCCATCTCACAGGGAATAAATTAGCATTCTTCCCCCACCCCAGTACAAGGACTCAATACCAGTAAATACACAGCCATGATAGTTATATAGTGACAGTTTCATCTCCCCCATGGTATTAGAAAATAAGGCATCTCACAACAATAACACCCTCTTAGTCCCCTAAACCGTTTCTGGGAAAGAGTTGTCTGAATTCTCCCCAAGGAAAGTCTAACAAGTGATGGGGAACTGAATGACTTCTCCAGGGTATATGTAGCCCTCTGATAAAACAAGGACCTTGTGGCCAGGGCACTGAGGAAGAAATAAGGAAGAGTGAGAGAGGGTCACCAAGGATGATGTCCAGAAATAGTCCATTCTCATCAAGTAGATCTTCCTGGAGACTGGATCCCAGAAACCAGTGGACCAGAGAGCCCTACTCCTCCCCAGGCTGGCATTGATTTACTATCACATACATGCCTTCTGGGAGGCCAGATACCTGATCTAAGAAGTCAGGTGCATAATGATGCAGCTGTTGATTAGCAGGAGTAAACTTTTTGCTCTGAGATGGGAGACTGACATTTTGACAGGGACAGTTTTGGGGTACTTTTGGGTTAGGTGGGTGCTCCAATTGGCACAAGGAGCTCAGCTGGGCAGGAATGATAATCATACTAGCTAACATTTATATAACATGAAGTGCTGGGTAATGTGCTAAGTGCTTTACAAATATTATCTCATTTAATCCTCACAACAACCCATTTATTATCCCCATTTTATAGTTGAGGAAACTAAGGTCAACAGAGGTTAAGTGACTTGCCCAGGGTTACATAGCTAGTGAGTGTCTGAGACTAGATCTGAACTCATGTCTTCCTGACTCCAGGTCTAGCACTCTATCCACTGGGCCACCTAGCTTTCCCCAGCTGCCTTGTACTTAGTTAGAGGGATAGTATAATTCTGTGGCCCGCACAACATGGTATCACCAATGTAATATCCATATTGACATTAGACCCACACTCCAACTTCTGCTATTCTTATAATGGTTCCAATCTGGTTGTTTATCATATGATGTCTCTGATGGGGGCTAATATGCCCCCACAACTGTATGCACTAGGAGATGTTAGCGAAATTTCTCCATTGATCTTCACCAAAAGGGAAAGTCTTTGACTGTCCAATTCTGTGCTCTCTAGGCCCCAGAACACTTGGTCAGTCCAGTAGCCACCACCTAGGAATCAGCGTAGAGGATGTTTTCTACCTCATCCTTTCAGACTCACTCACATGGGGGCAGCTAGGTGGCGCAGTGGATAGAGTACGGGAGGATCTGAGTTCAAATCTGGCCTCAGACACATAACACTTGCTAGCTGTGTGACCCTGGGCAAGTCACTTAACCCCATTGCCTAAAACAACAAAAAACAAAAACAAAAAAGACTCACTCACATGTGAGCCATGCAGCCTGGAAGCTAGAAGGAATTGCCAAGGCCTCCATTCTTTAAGGTATTCCCAGTTACTAGTTTACTGGCCCCTGAAGTCTGATTTAATGTGCCTCTGTCATAACATGTAGAGCCACTGATAGCCAGGCAAAATGGTATTCCTCAGGAGCCAGCTCCTTATAGGTGGGGGCCTATTGGGCCAGCAGAGGAGGAAGGGTTTCAGGCTTCAGGCTTTTTTAGGCTTCAGTTCTGGTGTAGTCACCCATCATGTATTTTTGAAGGGCACTAACACCAGAGGGCTCCATGGAAGAGTGTTTTTTGATGTGCCATTTCCATTTAGTGATAGAAACCTCTTGAGTTCTACGAATCTTGTAAGAGGGACTATAATGTATCACCCAACCCTTAAGAGACAACTCTGGACAAAGGGTAATTGTATGACCCATGCATCATCTGTTCAGCAGAAGCTAAGACCCAGTTATAGGAAAGCAAGTTCTCCTATGAGGGGTTGCTTACGTGTGTGTGTGTGTGTGTGTGTGTGTGTGTGTGTGTGTGTGTGTGCATGCACATTCATGCTTGCATGTGTGGTTTAGCAGCAGTCTTTAATTCTGACATACTACACATTAACAAGTCATGTGCTTTGGTCTCATTCCTGCAGCAGCAAACTTTCAATTAAATCTACCAGCCTGAGCCCAGTCCCATTTCCAGGGAAGTTGTTCCCCTCCAAAATAAAAACATCTAAAATTGCATTTTTAATTCCAATATGGCTCCAGCCATAATATATTGGATTTTTTTAAAGTGCACAACAAATTTATACAAAAATTATTTACGGAAGTCCATGGTACTGTTGTATCAGAAGTAAAGACCTTTTTATCCAAAGGGATTATAGCTAGGGCTGTGCCAAATTCAAAAGGATTGGACCCCTTTGAGAGAGTCTAGAGTTCGTATGTTCAGATTAGGTCTGGGGATGAGGGATTCACAGGGTTATTGCTAAGCTCTGCACAACCCAGAAGAGGGAAAAAAAAGACAACAGGGCCTGTGAATGGCCACAACCAGAGACAGAATTTCAGACCATCCTATTGGTTGGAGCATCAGAAGCCTAACTTCCTTATTCTGGCCACCTCTTGGTGCCTGTCATAGGCTCCACTCAGCCTGATTTTTGTGAACAGAGACTTCTGGAAACATGTTCCTTACATTGTCATTGAAACAAGAGGAGAGAAGCTGCTAAGTATGACTTGAAGTTCTCAAATGAGAGAGCTGGAAGATGATTTGGCATGAAAGGTTTGAAGAGAGAAAAGAAGGTTTGGAACAGCTGCAGCAGTGAGTGAGACAGGAAATCAATTAGCAAGGAGCAGTAGGATGGTCTTGCTGCACTGAGGGCAGTGTTGTAATTGTTGCTGCTCAATCATGTCTAACTCTTTGTGACCCCATGTGGGGTTTTCTTGGCAAAGATACTGGGGTGGTTTGCCATTTGCTGCTCCAGTTCATTTTACAGATGAGGAAACTGAGGCAAACAGGGTTCAGTGACTTGTCCAGAGTCACACAGCTAATATGTATCTGAGTTTGGTCAGGTCTTCTTGACTGCAGGCCTAGCACTCTATGAGCTGAGCCACCTAGCTGCCTCCCCGTTGATATTAGATGGCACAAATTTGCAGTGGACTAAGTCAGCATAGTTTTCTGATTTTCTTCAGTTCTGTTTAGCAGCGTGTTACACTAGAAGCAACTGGATGGAGATGACATTCCAGGTATGGGGTTTGGGAAGGAGTAATTAGCAATAGGAAAAGGGAACACGGGATTCAAGGGAAGAGTATAGTGGAGGGTTAAACTATTTCACCAACGGGAAGGGAGGGGAGCATAGCCAGAGCACAGGTGATGGCCTGGAATAGTACTGAAGGATGGAAGCATTGAAAGTCACAGTAAAGACAAAGAGTAGATTTAGCAGCAAAGAGGAAGCTGGGAAGGGCCTTAGAGATGATCCATTTCAATACCTTCATTTGACCTTTTTTAAAAATGGCTTTATTTTTATTCTTAATAAACACCAAATAAAATGAGAATTTTTATATGCATGGTCTAACATTATAGGATTGTCCATGAAACTGCACAGCTATTATATAGTTTGCTTTCTTTTTATGTATAATCAATTCAACAGTTAACTTTCAAAGTTTTCCTGCTTGTTTTTGATTTTTCTGGTCTTCTGTTCTCTTCTCGTTTTGAAGGATTATTGTGGGAGAACCTTATCCTTAGCCCGCTTCTCCCTCTCACCTCCTGCAACACTCCCCACTTCCCTATTGAAAAACAGAAAAAACAAAATCCTTTCAACAAATATTTATATTAAAGCAAAACAAATCCCCACATTGGTTACATCCAAAAATGTATATATATGATTCTTCATCTTTAGCCTGTGACCTGGGTAGCATGCTTCATTATTTTTGCTCCAGATTTGTAGTTAGTCATTAATCGAGTTCTTTAGTATTTCAGAGTTGTTTCTCTTTACATTGTTATTATATAAACTGTTCTTTTGGTTCTGCTCACTTCACTCTCATTAATTCATACAAGTCTTCTCAGATATCTCTGAGAGGGGATGGTTATCCCTTTCATTTTTTTCTGACAGAACAACAATATCTCATGATATTCATGTACCGTAATTTGTTCAGCTATTCCACAGTTTATGGGTTCTCCCTCAGTTTCCAGTTCTTTGCCACCACAAAAAGAGCTGACATAAATATTTTTGTAGATATGAGTCCTTTTGCTCTTTCTTTGATGGGCCTAGTAGTGGTAGGTCAAAGGGTATATAGAGATTCGGGACTTTTAGGACATGATTCCAGCTTATGTTCCAGAATGGATAACCCAGGGGTGGGGAATCTGCAGCCTCAAGGCCACATGTGGCCCTCTAGGTCCTCAAATTCAGCCCTTTGACTAAATCAAAACTTTACAGTACAAGTCCTTTTATTAAGGGGATTATTTATTTATTTATTTATTAAGGGGATTTGTTCTGTAAAGTTTGGATTTAGTCGAAGGACCATCCTACCAATTCACAGTTCTGCCAACTGTACATTAATATCTGTTCTCTCATTGCCACTCCAACATTTGTCAATTTCCTTTTCTTCTAGTCACTCCTCTTACTTGTTGGTGAATTCCCAGCCCCACCCATCCTGCTTGTACATCTATCCACCATGATGACCTGGGCAGAAATAGCCTCTCAATATCTGGGCTGTCCATCAATCCACTCTGTGCCCCAAAATAAATTGAGGACATGTTTCAGGCCCATAGCCCCAGGTTTGAAAATTGCTAATTATAACTCTTCCACAAATGGGAATCCAGTTTCCCCTGGAAGATGTCCAGTGATTCACTACCTTATAAGTTAGTATATTCTAATTAAAATAGCTCTAATAGTTAGGAAGATTTTGCTTATATTAAGCCTAAATAAATCTTTTTGGAACTTATACCCATTGCCATTTGGTTGAAGGATTATATTTTTAATTATGAGAATACATCTTTAATTCCTAGTGTAAATTAATAGAAAAATCAGGTTCACCCGGCACCAAATCACCTAATGACCAACTTTGCTGTTGTATGCTAAAATCTGCTCACCACCATAAAAAAGAACAAAACAAAACAGAATGAACTCAAATCAGTATCTTTTGCTCTAACATTTTGTTATTTTTATATTTCAAATCAATTCAATTTTAAGTCCACAAATATTCATTAAGCACCTACCCTGCACTAGACACTTGATGAGATACAAAATGTAGATAATTCCATGAAATTTAACAAGCAGTTATCGAGCACCAACTGTGTCCAAGCTGCCATGCCAGGGACATTAAAAAAAGAGAGAGAGAGAAAGAGAGAAAAGAAATAGATCCTGCTCTTCTGGAGATTGTTACTTTATTTTGTACCGCAAGGACTACCTGAAACTTCCCACCCCATTTGAGCCCCTCCCATCCTCCTACATATAGCCTCCCAAAGAATCTTCCCAAATTGGTTTAATTAGAAGGGTTTCTCTTTTTTCCTGGTCCTCTATCTTGACACGTACCTCAAGTTGTTTACAGATTTCTAGCCAAACTCCCTCCCTTCCAGACTGGTAATGAGAATAATTCCTTTCACATGTCTGACACTTTATCGTTTAGAAAGTAATTTCACAACCAACCATCTCCTTCTATCCCCATAACTCCTCCATGTAGACAGGGCAGGTGTTCTACTTTATTACTATTTTATAGGTGAAGAAACTGAGGTCATCTTTTGTGAAATTTGGGAATTGCCTATGGTTGGAATTGTTATGATTTCTTTCCCTTAGTAGGCGAAAGATAAATAGATAGCTATTGTTAGATCAGAATGCAAAAGCCCTGGCAGGCAATCAAGGGATTTCCCAAATGGATGACTACATGTGAAATTGCTTCCTAAATTGTAAAGGGTTAGTAGAATCCAGGAAAGAGCTGGCTTTGGAGTACACGGGGAAGGGGAATTCCAAGTCAGCATGTTTTGGAGGTAGAAGACTTTTTCTTCTCAAAGGACCAGGAAGGATTTAGGTGTTGTGGTGTGATACCGACAAAATGTCACAGGCCAAGTCAAGCCTGGGGAGCTGCTGCTAAGCAGAGTAGCTTAGACAGCCTGGAGCTGGTAGTATTTCTTCTAACTGCTTTTTCTCTGGTATGTGTCATTTCTGCACGTACACACACGTATATATACATACATAATACATACGCATGTGTGTGTGTGGTTTTTTTCCTTGTGAAGAAACCCTAGAAAATTCATTTTTGTCATTTAGAGTATGTGGCAGCAAGGGGTAGAAGGGGAAGAGCAGATTCCATGATAGGATCCAGTTATAGAGACACTGGTAGAAGGTTCATAAATTTAGAGCCACAAGAACGTTAGAAGGTAACCCCCTCATTTTACAGATGAGGAAGGTTAACTTGCCCTAGGTTACACAGCTAGTGTCTAAGGCAGGATTTGAACTTAGATCTTCCTAACTGTGAACTCCATGCTCTCTCTGTTGTACTGTCTAGCACCTACCAGGTGGAATGCATTACATATTTGCGCTCAAGGAGTCAACCAGGCTTAGAGACCAAGGCCCTGAGTACAGGCTTGGTAAACAGGGGAAGCTTAGAATGTCATAGAAATAGACTCTGAGCTAGAAGGGGCCATAGGGGTCATCTAATCCAACCCCCTCAATTTATGGATGAGGACCTGAGACCTGAAGGTTTCACAGGTAGTAAGTAGCGGAATCAAGATCTAAACCCTGGTTCTCTGACTACAAATAGAGTACTTTTTATACTATACTGTGAAGTAATGAAAGGTGAAAGACTAGGGCCAAAGGATCAGGCCCCCTAGGTCTAAGAAGGAGCTGGAATTTCTGAGACATTCACCCATTTCAAGGCCTAAGGCCTGACTCTTAGAAAGGGAAAATGATTTGTCCTAAAGTAAGCGCTAAGTTGGGTAGCTCTCCTAATTTCTATCTCAGGCTTTTTCTTTTACATCTCCTTACCTCAGCTTGCTAGATTCCTTTGGCTTCCTTCAAGATTCAGCTGAAACTCCACCATCTGCAAGAGGCCTTTCCCAGTCTCTCTTCCTCCTTTCTTCACCACCAATGCTAGCGCCTTCCTTCTGAGGTTACTTTTCACTTATAATGTATATATCTTTTACACCCTTTTTTTTGTTTTTTGGGGGGGTTTTTTGCATTTGAGCAGGGACTATATTTCTGTCTTTCTTTGTATGTCTAGTGCTCAGCACAGTGCCTGGTACGTAGTAAGCAGTTTATAAATGATTGTTGACTGATTGCCACCTCCTTGCTAAAGGAGGACCTAGGAATGGTCCTTAGACCACAGGTGGTCACCCTACCTCAGGCAGAGAAAAGCAAAGAACAGGGCAGGGGTAACCTGCTTTGACTCAGACAAGCCGGTCTCCCTAGACCACTCCCACTAATGTTCCAGCAAACCAAATTGTCCTCTCCTCAGAGTTAACCTTTGATTATCCCTGTGAGAGAATGCCTTGATAAATCTGTGGTTTCTTTTTCTGGAATAGGACAGAAGCTGTTACATATTTGTTCCTCTGTTGATTAGAAGGTCTGAAGGAATCCTTTGATCTCATGGTCTCCTTTAGGTAAAGGGTTTAATGGAAAGTCTTAAAAGGAGACAGAGAAAGGGTTACAAGACAGAAGGAGATAGAATAGGTAGGAAGAGAAATAATATTGAATGCCCTATTTGTAACCTAAGCCCTGAAGAGTTCATCTGTTTATTCATTTTACTTTCCTTTAACCTTTGTATGAGTGTGTGTGTGTGTATGTGTGTGCGCAAGCATGCAGTAAAGTTATTTTTGCCCTGAAATGATTCCAAGTAGAATCATGGCTCAAGCACAACAGATGATAGCTACCAACAGGCGAGTTTAGCCTTGCAATAAAGAAAAACTTCCTGCCAATTAAATCTATCCAGATGTGGGATGGCTTGCTTTTGGTGATGGTGGATTCCCATATTGTTTATCAAGCGTTTCCTATGTGTGCCGGGCTAAGCACTGGTGAGACAAAGAAAAGTAAAAACACCGTCAGTCCTTCCTCTCAAGGAGCTCATACTCTGACATGGGAGGTGACATGTAAACCACTGGGTCCATACAAGTTACGTGGAAGGATCATTCATCTCCATATAGAGAGGGGTTGAATTCAAAGTGGAGATGAGGCATACACATGTGTGTGTACATATATGTTATATATGTATGTCTGTATTTAACATGGCTAATATGGCCATTTATTTTGCTTGACCATAAATATTTGGTTTGTTTTTATTGCTTTCTCCATGGGAAGGGAACAGGAATTTATTAAGCTCCTACTATATGCTAGGTTAGGCAGTTAGGTGATGCAGTGGATAAAGCTCTGGGGCCTGGAGTCAGGAAGACTCATCTTGCTAAATTCAAATCCAGACTCAGACACTTAATTAACTGTGTGACCCTAGGCAAGTCACTTCAGCCTGTTTATCTCAGTTTCCCCATCTATAAAATGATCTGGAGAAGGAAATGGCAAATCACTCCAGTATCTTTGCCAAGTGGGGTCACAAAGAGTCAGACATGACTGAAAAATGATCGGACAGCAACAAAATGTGCCAGGCACTGTGCTAAGCACTTTGCAAATATTATCTCATTTGATCCTCATAACAACCCTAGGAGGTAGGTGGTATTATAATCCCTGTTTTGCTGTTGAGGAAACTGAGGCAAACTTGCCCAGGGTCACACAGCTGGCAAGTGCTGAGGCCAGATTTGGACTGAGTCCAGGCTTATCACTCTATCCACTGTACCATTTAACTGCCTCTAGTGGGAGGGGGTAGGAGAGGAAGAGACCGAAGGGAGAGAATTTGGAACTGAAAAATAAAAATTGAATCAAAAAATTAGATATGTGGAAGGTCTTTAAGAGGAGACTAGATAACTACTTGTTCTGTTTGTTGTAGAAGGAGTCCTTGCTCAAGTAGGGGCTGGACTGATGGCCTCTGAGGTCCCTTCCAATTCATATTCTGTGATCAGTGAAACAGCTGGGATTTAGGTTGTATTCTGGGCGGGAGTCTTAAGGACACTAGACTGGGCTGGTCTCTGAACTTGGCTTGGATAATTAGCTGAACTCTGGGCTAGGCTTGGCTCTATAATGGACTGAGCTTTGGGTGACAGTAGACTCTGGACTGTGCTGGCTTCCGGGCTAGTCTGAGAGTTGGGAGGGGGGTAGAGAGGGGAGATAGCTAATTCCAGGAGAATTCTTCAGGCCTGACAGGTGGCTCTGACATGTGATGCCCCTCCTCCAGGCCCCCATCACAACCCAAATTTAGAACTAGTTGAACTGATGAGATGTAGCATGCCAAGATATATAAATATCAATCTGAGTTCCAGCAAAGTCAGAGAGGACTTGGGCTGGACACTCACACTGGGTCACTACTCCAAGCTCTTGAGTTCCCTTTCTCAACCCTACCTAACTACTTTGACCTCTGGCAGAGACCCCAAATCTTGGTAAGACATTCTCTCATTCTGTTCCCAGGGAGGGTAAGGGGAGAGAGTAAGGGTTCAGAACGGAGAAGGAAGGGATCTACTCTTTGGAACAGGAGGGAGTAGAGAGAGAAGGACTAGGGAGCAGAAAGCCTGAGTTTTGAGAAAGAGGGAAAGAGGGAGGAAGTAAGAGCTTTGAAGACTGAAGGAAGTAGGGACTGAGGATAGGATGGTCGAGAATTCTGGGTTCTGTGGGCTGGGGTTATGGAAGGAGTCACTCATTGTCTATAAACGAAAAAAGTCCTCAGGACTGGAAGAGGCGACAGAACTAAGAATAGTTTACAGCGGGGTCCTGGGTTTTTGGGGAAAGGTAGATAGCCAGAGTAGAAAGTCTATAAATATGGACCTTGGGGTAGCGAAGAGTGAGACAGAGAGGAGAGCAGGGAGACTGGGTTCTTTCATGGGATGGAAGAAGAAGGATCTGATTCTGAGCTGAGTTCTCTAGGGTGGAGGCCTATGGCACTGGCTTTCTCCCTCCTTGGGTTGTGGTGACACTCACTGGTTTATGCATCTGTTAGGCCTATTTATAGAACTTGGCTCAGCTTCTGGCCTCATCCTTTGATGGGGGATGGGGATTTCTAGATCCATGCTGGGGGAAAACTGATATTCGAAGCTGATATGATCTGATTGCTGGGATCTGAGCTGGCTCTAAGTTGTGGGAACATCTAGGTCCTGGCTGGAGGGATAGAACACCTGGATATAGGGTGGGGGAATGAGTATACTCTGGTCTGAGCTAAGGAGATGGGAGTATAGAAAGGAAGGGAGGAAACGGGCATTGATTAAGCCTCTACTA